GTGGGCGGCCCCACGGGGCTTCCCCGTGGAGCCCCAAACCTGTGTCAGTGGTCTGCTTTCTATTTCTGAGTTTTGTGCACTCGCCTTTGTTGTGTTGGTTTTGTCCTTCCCGGAGTGTGATTCTGGCACAGTGATGAACGCCTCTGTGGCCTGTTCGTTCTCCTGCTGACGGGAGGAAAAGCTCCCGAAGACAGTCCAGGTTTCTCTCCTTTCCCAGACCCCCACCGAGCAGATGTTTAAAAGTTTGTTTCCAAATGATGGCGGTGGCTCTGTCTGGTGTCTGAATTTTGACGGTTGTTACTGCTGTGTGTGACCTCCAGGTCCCAGCCAGACAATTCAAGGGTCCTGGTCAGTCCTCCAGAAATTTCTGGTTCACCATTCTATTTTTTTTCTTGGGCAGCTTTATAATAAGCATGAAGAGTGGAATTTTCTACATTTTACCTTTCAATTACAATTTATATTCAGCATTATTTTTTATTAGGTTCGGGTGTGCAGCCCTGCGGGTAGACAGTCGTATCCTTTACGAAGGGTCCCCCCGCCTCCAGTATTTCCAGTGCCCGCCTGCACCGTGCACAGTGATCACTGCATCACGGACTGTGTTTCCGGTGCTGGAGATACGGCCCGTGACTCCTTCATGGCCGCCATTCATACTTCCTCGTCCCTTCACCTTTTCCACCCGTGCTGCCCATCTCCCCCTTCCCTCCGGCAGCTGTGAATCTGTTTTCTGTATCTGTGAGTCTGTTTCTGTTCGGTTTTGTTTTTTACACTCCAAATACAAGCGTAATCATATGGTATTTGTCTTTGTCTTATTTCACTTTGCACAGTACCCACTAGTTCCATTCATACTTCTGCAAATGGTGAGATTCCATTCTTTTTAATGTCGGAGTAATATTCCATTGTATTGTATACATGTACCACCACTTTTTTATCCATTCGTCTGTTGATGGGCACTTGGGTTGCTTCTGTTATCTCGGCTGTCATTAAAAACACTGCAGTGAACGCGGGGGTGTGTATAGTCTTTTGTGAATTAGTGTTTGGGGTTTCTCGGAGTGTACACCCAGAAGTGCAATCACTGAGTCATAGGCAGCTCCATTTTTCATTTTTCGAGGACCCTCCATACTGGTTTCCACAGTGGCTGCACCAGTCTGCAATCCCACCAGCAGGGCACTAGGATTCCCTTTTCCCTACATTGTCCCCCACACCTTTTGTTTTGATTTGATGATAGCCATTCTGACAAGTGTGAGGTGATACCTCATTGTGGTTTTGATTTGCATCTCTGACAGTGATGAGAACATCTTTTCCTATGTCCCTTGGCCGTCCGTGTGTGCTCTTTGGACAGGCGTCTAGTCAGGCCCTCCGCCCACTTTTCCTTGGATTGTTTGCTTCTTTGGTGTTGAGTTGTATGAGTTCTTTATAAATTTTAGATACTAACCCTTATTGGATGTATCACTGATGAATACCTTCTCTCCTTCAGCAGTTTGTCTTTTCATTTCATTGATGGTTTCTTTTGCTGTGCAAAACCTTTTTTTTAGTTTTATGTAGTCCTGTTTGTTTATTCTTTTTCTTCTGTTTCCCTTGCCCAAGGAGATACATCAGAAAAAAATGTTAACAGAAACGTCAGGGACTTTACTGTCTTTTTCCCAGGAGTTTTATGGTTTGGGGTCTTATGATTCAGTCCTCAATCCATTTTGAGTTTATTCTGGCATACTGTGTAAGAATGTGGTCTAGTTTCTTTGTATTTTTTTTATTGCATGTATCTGTCCAATTTTCCCAGCATCATTTAGTGAATGGACTGTCTTTACTCCATTGTGTATTCTTGTCTCCTTTGTCATAGATTAATGAACCATGTAAATGTGGATTTTTTTCTGGACTCTCTATTCTGATCTGTTGATCTTTGTGTCTACTTTTATGCCAGTATCATGCTGTTTTGATTTCTGTAGCCTCGTAACATAGTTTGATATCAGGTAGTGTGATAGCTCTGCCTTTGTTCTTCATTCTCAAGATGCTGTGGCTGTTTGTGGTCTCTTGTGGTTACATACACATTTTTGGATTATTTGTTTAGTTGGTGAAACACACAATTGGCATTTTGATAAGAATTGCATTGATCACTCTGGGGGGGTATGAAGATGTTAATGATGTTGGTTTTTTCTGTTGATGAGCATAGTATATGCTTTCATTCGTGTCTTCATTTTCTTTCTTCAGTGTCTTACAGTGTTTCAAGCACAGATCTTTTACCTCCTTGGTTGAGTTTATTCCTAGGCATTTTTCTGATGCAATTGTAAATGTAATATTTTAAGCTTTTTTTTTAACTTTATATTTAGAAAATATAAAGATTTATTTATTTATTTATTTATTTATTTTTATATTAAATTTTATTTAGTTACTTTTCAAGTACACATTTTTTTTCTCTCCCCCCCCCCTGCCCGGTCTCCCCCCCCCCCCCATTCCCCCCCCCCCCCCCCAGTCCTCATCTCTGTGTCTTTCATACTTGTTCCTCAAAATCCCTCCCCCTTTTTCCCCTTAAGTTCCCTTCCCTCTGCCCTCTGGTCGCTGCCCACTTAGATTTTATTTATTGATAAGGATTTTATTTGATATTTAGAGAGAGGAGAATGGAGGGAGAGAAGGAGAGAAACATCAAGGTGTGGTTGCCTCTTCAGCACCCCCATACTGGGGACCTGGCCTGCAACCCAGGCATGTGCCCTGACTGGGAAACGAACCATCAAACCCTCTGGTTCGCAAGCTGGGGCTCAGTCCACTGAGCCGTGCCAGCCAGGGCAAATATAATTGTTCTCTTAGTTTCCCTTTCTGATAGTTCATATTATTGGTGTAAAAAATGCAACTAATTTCTGAATATTTATTTTGTATCCTGCTACTTCACTGATTTTTTTTGTGTGTGGAATTTTTAGGGTCCTCTATGTACACTATTGTGTCATCTGCAAATAAGGAAAATTTTCCTTCCTCCTTTCCAACTTAGACGCCTTTCACCTCTTCTTCCTATCTGATCCGCGTGCTAGGCCGCCCAGTGCCGAGTCTCACAGAAGTGGTGAAAGCGGGCATCCCTGTCTTGTTCCTGGTCTTAAGGGGAATGCTAGTAGTTTTTCCCCACTGAGTTTGGTGTTAGCTATGGGTTTATCATATATGGCCTTTACCACATGGAGGTACGATCCCTGTGTTAGGAATGGAATTCTTTTTTTTTTAAGATTTTATTGATTTATCTTTAGAGGGGAAGGGAAGGAGAAAGGAGGAGAAATATCAATGTATGGTTGCCTTTCTTGCGTCCCCTGCTAGGAACTGGCCTGCAGGGAACCGGCGTGCAACCCAGGCATGTGCCCTGACTGGGAATCGAACCGCTAATGTCTGGTTTGCAGGCCCACGCTCAATCCACTGAGCTATACCAGCCAGAGCAGGGATGGAATTCTTTAGCCAGTAAATCTATTCTTTTATTTAATGTTCTTAAATTAACATCTATGTGTGGTAGCAGACAGACATAGGAACTCTTCAAAATAGAAAGAATAGTGCAGTGTTCAGGGCGTGAAGTTTCTGCTGCCAGAAACACACCATACACACAGTTAACTTAGTTTCTTATGTTTTTTATTATAGTTGGTGATTTATTTTAAAAATATGCAACAATACTGACCTATGCTGTATCTTTTTATAGGCAGTTAACACTGTATCTTGGGTTTAGTAATTAAATTTTCACCAAATATTTTAAGTATCTATTAATTTTGTCTTTTTTTCCTGCTTTGTTTGTGATTTACTTAGAAATTAAAATAGCATAGTAGCCTCTGTTTTATAAATGACATTTTATGGTATACTTGTTCCCTGACCTTTAAAAAATTTGTGGCATGACCTCTCTGACTGAATTATAAACTGGTGAATGGTCACTATTTGCACCAGAATACCATCCCTTGAAACTAACAAAACCATCTGAATTAAGCTGAAATAACACGGGGCACTTCCTCACCAACGTGCAATGGTAAAGACCGGAGTCGCACAGACCACGAGAGTGGCGGGCTCTGTCTTTTAGTCCCAGTTTGCCTTTCTGTCAGCCCGCCCTTCAGTCTGCCTTTCTTCTGAGTGTCACAGTAGCTTGAGAATAAAATCCTTCCTCGGTCATTTGTAGAGGAATACAGAGGCTCCCCTCACCCCTGTGGAACAACTTCTTCACCTAGGCTCCCGGCGGGGGGTGCCCGTGATCCCATCGCTGTGGTGAGGGCACGTGCTGTTTACGCACGGGCTGGCCTGAGTCAGTGCTGGCCCCCGAGCCAGTGTGGGGCGAGGGTGACTGATGTGGCGTCAGCCCCATCCAAGCCACAGGGCTGTGGCACGTGACTGCAGTGACCGCAGTATCCATGGACACAGGGATGCTGTCTTACATTTATTTCCTTTCTCAATGGGCACCCGTGTATGGGGCACACACCACAGTGTGCCTATTTCCTCATTTTCTCTGAGAGAGGCATTTCTGGTAGAGAAAGTTAAGAAGCAGAAATGGGGGGATTAAAGTTGGATACAGCCGAGATACTTAGTGAAGACCCTCATGCCAGCTGAAGAGACAGGAGGCAGAGCTGCAGCTCGGAGGAAGTACCCGGTGGACCGGCGGTAGCTCGCCCCACGCTCGGCATCTGGTAGGGAGCCTCGCTGTCACGGGGGGTGACCAGGCTGGTCTCAGGCGCGTTCCCGTGACGCCTGCACTGCTACGGCCCCGCTAGGAGATGCTGCATCGGAAACGCGTCTCCTGATTCCAGCGCCGCCTCAGCAGGTCCCAGCAGTGAGGCTGAACACACGTGGCCTTAAACTTAAGCTTTATAGGCATTTCGGACTTTGGTTAACTTTCGTTGCTCATTTTTTAAATAGTTGGAGGTACATGATTTAGCTACTAATGAGTTTTCTTACAAAATTCATTTGGAATCAGAACTGGGGAAAATTTGCTTCATATTCTTACCCAAATATTTGAATGATTCTTTTTATGTTAATGAGCAATATTTCTTTTTTTTTTCCAGGGAATGGATTCGTAAACTCAAGAGGTTCTCCAAATCTGATTGGAACTACTGGTGCAAATAGCGTGGGCAAAGTCATGCCCACAAAGTCGCCGCCTCCTCCGGGCGGTGGCAGCCTGGCCATGAACAGCCGGAAACCAGACCTCCGCGTCGTCATCCCCCCGTCCAGCAAGGGCATGATGCCGCCTCTGGTACGTCAGCCTGCTCAGTGCGCGCCTCACAGACGTGCGTTTTCTGCACAGTCTGTATTTTCTTTCCGAATGTTCCGTACTGCCGTAGAATCTAGGCTTTTTCCTAATGATGGCTTCTATTTGAAATTAGCATTTGAAGAAACAAGTCTATTTTAAATACACAGAAAACAGATGATGGAGAAATGGAAAATAAATTAATCTGCTTAATGGTTATTTAAAATGAAAGCTAAATATGGAGAGGTTAGTTTTGAGGGTGATTTTAATTTTACCAGGCTGGGGTCTTTACTTAGAGGTCTCATCCCTGAACTAATCAGTTAAACCCGACTGAAATCTTTTCTCTGTGCTGTGCACACTTCCAGTGACCTATGGCCTGTGCCCTTCTGTGCAGAAATGCTGTGTTAATAATTTGTTAGGAAAGTCTACATACCAACGAACACTGCTGCAGACTAGGGAAGAATGCATGAAAACCTGAATGAGCTCTTCTCCAAATAGGTTCTATTTATTCCTTTTCAAACAGCCTTCCCCCTTAAGTCTCTAGAGGACCGGTCTCCCCGTCCAGACCTTGACTGTGTCTTTACGGTCCCAGCCTCATTCACTTTTGAGCCCTGTGTCTGTAAGCAGAGAAGAGTATGTTTTACCCCCTAGTCTCTTGTAGGAAAAATAACTAGAATATACGTGTGAGTTTTACACCAACAGTGAGTGTGGCAGTGGTCCAGCTGCTGACCTGCAGTGCGACGTGCCTGCAGGTGGTTCCTTCTGCTAAGTAGCTGCTGGAACTCGACATTGGAGTTTTTGCAAGTGAAAGCCACGCTTTCGGGCTTTAGATAGTGACTCCACGTCTGCACTGCTTTAGAGACGCCCAGCATCTTCACACGCACTGAGTGAGGGAGACGTCAGTGCTTCCCCAACATAGCACAGAAGAGACCAGAACCAACCTTTTTAGCTCAACAAACAAGCATTTTCTCATTCAGAAATCCAGAAGGCTGGAAACCGTGTCCCTCCCAGCCTTTCCATGAAAACATCTGGACAGAGAAAAAGTTCAGTGCTCCTTGAGCACGTTGTAGTGCTTACAACGCGTCAGGGCAGCTGACTGGCCCAGACTCCCCCTGGGGAGGGGGCAGCACATGCTGATTTTCCTGGACCAGGAAGGCGGACCAGGAAGGCGAGGCAGAAGACTTCCACAAGGGGGCTGCGGAGTGCTTGGAGGCCAGGTGTTCCGTGGCCAGGCCGGGGCCACGCGGGGGCGCTCCCAGACCCCCGTGTGGGGGGTGTGCTCAAACAGGCCCTCTTGGGGGGCAGGGAGGTTGGCCCGGATCCCTCTCCCCACTCTCTCTGTGGGACAGAAATTCTGCTAATCTGTGAGGGTGTAGGCAGTGACCCTGGCACCCTGAGGGCCCCGGGGAAGTGGAAAAGGAGCGCTAGCTTAGCCACATTCATGAGAACTACCGGTAAACAGCCGAATGTCCAGGCAGACTGCATCCTGGCATTCAGCAACTGGTCAAGGTCATCTCCGGTTTTTTAAAGCACAGGCCATGAAGCATCTCCAGGCAATACCCAAAATTGACCACACACCACCTCCACCGATACCCCCTGCAGGGCGCAGTGAGGGGTACACACATGCGCCCTCGCGTTTTGGTGGGGGTCCCGGAGCTGCAAGCATGTGACTGTCCCGTAACTCGAGATGAGGTGCATTCTACCCACGAGTGAGACAGTTGTTGGCCAACCATGTTTTTCACCCACACAGCAAATAACGGCCTCCCTCCTATTTTATGCCATTTCTTTGCAGATAAACCTGCTTTCAGATTGAGGCTTAATGTATCAGAGATGCCTATGAAGAGACACCTTTCACAGGCTGACAGAGAAACCGAAGTAAAGTAGGAAAAGCTAGTCAGTCAGTGGTTTCTCAAGTACATTTTCTAGGTGTGTAAGAGACAAAGAGCAAACAGGGTCCTGTCCTCTCCTTCCTGTACCTGATTCTCAGGCCCCTCCTCCTGCAGCCTCCTGTTCTTCCCATTGGGGGTTTCTCTGTGGCAGTTACTTTATTCATAGCAAAACAGTATTTGCAAGTGATAGACACATGTAAATCTGTGTTGTGTAAAATTGCTCTACCTATTAACCAATGTTTGAGCTCTTGTACTTCCCTAACACTGTGCTAACTGCTGTGGGAGTGAGAGAAAATAGCTTCTTCCCAAGAAGCAGAGACTCTGACACGAGACAAAGGAGATGTGGGGCCAGGCTGAGAGGGCTGAGGTGTCAGGCTGGGTGGCAGCAGTCTTCTCAAGGACAAGGAGGCAGACCAGCCCGTGACCGGCCCGTTCAGTGCGGCGGCTCGTGTGGCAGGGGTGCAGCCAGTGGGGAAAGTCGGGAGGCACGTCTGTAAACCCTGGTCCTAGACACTGTCAGAGTCTTCCCGGGCTTTCAAAATCCGCTGCAAGAGACAATAAATAATTAATGTTTGTATTTGTTGCATATATAATGACCTGTTTAGAATTTCCAGCAACTGCTAGTGTCCAAATAACATGTTTTCGTAAAGAAATACTTTCTTGTTGAATGCCAACAGTCTTAGTAACTCTCTCATCCCTCTTGTGTTCTGAGCGCAGTCGGAGGAAGAGGAATTGGAGTTGGTGAGTGTGGGTTTCTGCTCGAAGGGAGTTGGAAAAGGTGTAGAAAGTACTAATTCCCCTACACGTTTTTACCTAACCAGTGTTCCCTTATCACAGATTTTTTTCTTGAGACTAAACACTGTCCAAACACTTTGAATAACTAAACCAATCCACTGGTAATATACAGTGCTGAGATTTTCTATTCCTGATTATCTTGATCCATTTTATTGGAATGAGGCTTTCAGACAATAGCTGTCCATGGTCACAAGACCCTTGTTAAAGATTTTCTTACAGATGCAAAATACCTTATATAGCTCCCCAAATTATTAACATATTTTTAGAAAATGACTTCACCTTCAAAGTTCCTCAGATTGTAACACATGGTCTTGTGTTATTTCTCTTCCTTTCGAAATGATTACATCATTTTTGGTGAGGTCACCTTTTTCACAGAGTTGGGATTATCTCATGCTGCAGGAAAGGCTCTGAGCCACAAAGGAGTTCCCTGTTCACCGAGGGAGTGTCTGCAATTGTGCACAAATTTACTACTTTTTATCAGAAGATACTCCATCTTCAAAAGTAGCTATTAATACCTCCCCCCCCAAACAAATGATTTCTATTTGCTTTCCTTCTAGAAAGTAAGTTTGGCTAAAAATAACTTTCAGTTGATCTGTTTTTTCTTCGGGAACTGAGACTCAGGCCTCACAGACGTGAGCGAATGAATTCAGAGTCAGCTCTGATGAGAGCCCTTCAGGGGATAAGCACTGGCCCGAGTTCAGGCTGCAGCAGGCAGGGCTCGGGTGCATGGAAGCATGGGGGAGGGGCGTGTCTCGTGGACGTGTACCTGCATGCGGGCGTGTTGTGCACGGTGTGTTTCTTTCTAAATAAGACTGCTGTGTTCTTAAAGTAAGAGCGAGCTCATCCTGTATTTAAATTAGTGCTCACTCCCACGGTTTTGGATGTGGTTTCATGTTGGTTAAAATGTACTAGTTGGCTGTCATGTAGTACTGGGTTATATCACGTGCAGATTTGGACTGCTTTTTGGGAAAATACTTAATGATACAATAACATTACCAAATTGTTGGTTTACAATTCGAGAGAAAATAATTCATATTAGAAGTTGTGAAGGCTGCCTTGTGAATTATCTGGCAATATATTGCCCCCTAGTGGTTCAGAAGTCACTCACTCTGCTAAATCTCAGCACCCAGCACCAGGTGTTATAATTTAGAAAGCTGTTCATGCTGGTTTGAACTCTGGGGTACACTCGTGGGTGGCTCTGGCCCTCGGCGAGGAGGGCCGGGTGCCCCGAAGCCCACACTGAAGACTCCTGTGGGAGTCGGGCCACAGAGTCCCCAGACGCCTCGCTCCCCAGGACAGTGCGGCCTATGGCCACTCTAGGGCACTAGCTGTGGGTCCGAAGGAAGAGAGACGTTGGTGCTTTTCCACCAGTTTTGTGGGAACCCTGGGCCCAAGTGTTTGGGGGGCAGTAAGGCCCTGCCGCACTCGTGCGGTGCGCAGTTCCCTCCCGAGGTTCCCAGCAGCTCTGCAGGCTGCCCGAGGTCACCGCCTTCCCGCCTGACAGACAAATGGGAGGTGAGGGAGGGTCCTGGCACCACGGTGCATCTGGGACAAAGTCCTGGGCGGTCCAGCCACATAGTGAAAGGTCTTTTTAACACTCAGTGAAGACTGTATAGAAAATGCAAACTAAAAAGAAAGAAACTGAGCTCTGGACCCTTACTACGTAGTCAGTGTCCAGGCATGTAGCTCTAGGGCCTTCCTCCTGGAAGACGTGGCCAGGAACCTGAGTCACTGGGATTCTTCTCGACCTCAGGGGGGCTGAGGCTGAACCGCACTCCTGTTGGTTCAGAACAGGACCCTAGGGCTGTGTTTCGGCTTTGTGTGCACGGCCCACAGAACAGGGCCTGCGCTCTGCTTCACTGGCCCTTGGTTTTGGGGAGTGGTCCCGCCGGCCGGTGTGGTGAGAGGCTGCGCCATCACACTCTGACACGGGGCAGCCACTGTCTTAGTCGGTCTCGATTATTCATAGCGGACTTGATTCACTCGCTCCCAGGGCAGGCAGGACACTAGCAGGCGGAGTCGGTCTGCAAGCCTGTGGCACGCACGTTCTCCAGCGGCCCTTCCGGCAGGAGAGCCGGGCACTGACGCGACGCAGGCCCAAACACAGGACTGTTAGAAACCGGTCTGATGTGGAGGCTGTGCGGTTTGGGGGGGCACGGGGATCTCCGCACCTTCCCCTCCATTCCCCTGTGAACCTGAGCCTGCCCTAAAACAGTCTCTCTACACACGTGCCCAGCTGCAGACTGGAAGGGAGCCCAGACAGAGGCAAGCTGCCCCTCAGTAAGCCGTGACTTAAAAGTAGTTTTGAGCTTTACACTCAAGGACTTAGAATTTCTTTATAGACTAATGACTGCGGCCTTCGGGCACTTGAACCTGCAGGGAGTCCGTGTTGGCAGCCCAGCCCTGCCTGCAGTGGCTCTGAGGCCCCGCCGACGCCCCCCAGAGAGGAGCTGCCCCTCGCCACGCAGGTTCTGTGCCGCGGGTGGGCCTCTGACATCAGTAAATGCTGCATGAAAAAGGAGGAAGTGAATGATTACCGTGAAAACATGTCCCTTAAAATTCAATATTTAGTGATTCCCATTAGTATTTATTTTTAAGGTTTTCATGTCAGCACTGCTTCAGGAAATGACATATCATAAAACCGTGAAAAATGTCACTTTCAGATCGAATGCTATTTTTAAAACGTGAAGTCTGAACATAAATACTCGCCCAGCAGCACGTGTCCCTCTTTTCTCCTCTCGCAGAACCCCCAAAGGATAAGCAGTTCTCAAGCCGCGCAGCCCCTGGCCACCCCGGTCGTGTCCGTGGCGACGCCCAGCCTGCCTCCGCAGGGGCTCGTGTACTCGGCCATGCCGACCGCCTACAACACTGGTAAGCCGGCCCCGCCCCTCCTGGCTTTCCTTCTGCTCTGTGGTCCTGGTGTGCCTTTAAAGTGTGCATTGGGATGCACTGCTTCCAGTGTTCCGGACTCACGTTTGCTGTATTGAAAGACGTGCCCGCCAGCCCTGAGGACATTACAGGAAACACGCCGGTCACAGGTTTCCCAGCAGGCACTCTCACTGCCCTGCAGCTGTCCCCAGGATTCTGGCGTGCCGCCGCCGCCGAGGAGGGGACAGCCGCTGCTGGCCCTTTCTCCTCGCACTGTCTCCCTCCTGCAGGCTGGGCAGTGAGACAGTTCCGTCTCCTCACTGGGCGGCGCCTCCGTGTAACCACCGGTGTGGTGTCTGTGGTTCGAGTCTCAGGGACAGAACCGGACCTTTCTCGTTTGTCCGCAGAGCTGGCTGGTCAGTGCCCACCCCTGGGTGGGGTCTGCTTTTGGCTTAGTGGGCTGAAGAGGAGGACCCCGGGCGCGGCAGGTTGTCTTTAGATGGGCCGCGCTGGGGCCTGGCGGACTCACGTGCGGGTCCCCTTCTCACCGGCCGGGCCGGACTCCCAACGCGTCAATGGACGGAGAGGGACACAGTGAAATCGTGCCTGGACTAATTGTTCAGATGCCGAAAAGCAGGGTTTTGTTCTTTATGCTTCTTGTGAGTAGGTGGTAATAAAGATCATCTTGTTTTGCACTGGAGGGTAAGTGCTTGATCGCGGTGCTTCCAAACCGTGGAGCTCCCTGGGGGCCGCGGAGCCGTGCACGTGTTTGGCGCTTTGATTCCAAGTTGTTCTTTTAAAACAAACCATTCGTTTGTTTTAAAAGGTTTGGTTGAAAACAGACGTCTGTTAGATGAAATGATGATGTTCTCTTACAGTCGGCATGAAAAAATGCCCAAATCCATGAGCCTCAAGTCGGGAGGAAAGCGTGAGCTCCTCCACCTGGGCGCTGTCTCCGGGCGCCCGGCGCTCCGCCAGCCCATCCTCCCTCACCCCTGCAGGGCGGCGCCAGGTCCCATCCGAGTCCCGAGGTGACGTTTAAGTCTCTCATCCATGGTCAGTCTATTCTCGGATATAAGGTCACCGGTGGTCTGGTTTGTCCCTTCCTTTGTTTTTGCACGTATCTGTTGGGTTTTCCAGAACCATTGATGGTAGAGACTGCCGTTACCGCACAGTGTGTTCTTGCCGCCTCAGTCAAACGTGCACTGGCCACAGAGGCGTGGGGTCGGGGGTGTGTGTGCGCGTCTTTACGCCGGTGCCGCCCTGTGTGCTCACAGCCTCGGAGAGTAGTTTGGGTCACGCAGGGCAAACCCCAGCCTTGTCCTCTTAGGGCTGCTGTGCTTGTTCAGGGTCTGCTGTGGTTCCCTCCCTGTGCACCGTTGGGTTTCCTAGTTCTGTGAAAAATTCAGTTGCTTTTTAAAACGATGTTGATTCACTGGAAGAGCAACTTCATTGAACATCGCTCTCGAGCCATGAGAAGCTGAGTTTCGCCGCCTCCCTCTGGGACTGGATGGGAGAGGCGAGTGTTGACAAGGAGCCCGGAGAGCCCCCCCCCCCCCCCCCGTGAGTGGTGGGCGTGCGTCCCACGTTCCGGATGAAGTGGCTGTGGCTGAAGCAGCCGCAGAACACAGCCTGTGCTGTCCTTTTGTAACCCAGCTCTTTTTGCGGCGTGAAAGCAGTTTGCTTGCAGTTGGGCGTCCCGTGCGTGCACGCGCTCCCGGAGGTGGCAGTGAGTGTGGTGTGTGGAACAGCAGCTTTGCAGCACAGCCTCGGCATTATAGACCAGTCTGGAATGAGAAATAACAAACGATATTTAGTACAAAATTGCAACTTAGTTTATTGAAATAATCACAGACAATCAAATACAGCTAAGTCCATAAACCTCCCAAGAGGAAGTCCTCTGTGGAATTTAGGCCCTGCGGTCTGCGGTTCCAGGTTGGGCAGGCCCTGGCTTCTCAGCCTGGGACGCTGCTCCGTGAAGAGCGGACCCTGAGCCTGGCACGCCTCCCTCTCTTGCAGATTACTCGCTGGCGAGCGCGGACCTGTCGGCCCTGCAGGGCTTCGGCTCCCCGGGCATGCTGTCCCTGGGGCAGGTGTCGGCCTGGCAGCAGCACCATTTGGGACAGGCTGCCCTCAGCTCTTTGGTGTGAGTAACCGGAGGCCTCCCTGCATCTCCCCCGCGTGCCCCGGGGGACCCCCGCACAGAGACGCTGCGGGACAGTCCTCAGAGCCCCAAGCAGGAGTGAGGGGGCAGCGGGGCTGCTGTGCTGTCCCCTCTTCCGGCCTGCGGCCTGTCCCCCACCTGCTCCATGGGCCGCCACCCTTTCGGTTCGGCAGTGTTTTGGTGGCCCGAGTATTTGGAGAGAACTTTGTTTACGTGGCTCTCATTTAACAGCTTGGGTACTGAGCACAGGAGGCCTTCCTTAAAGGAGATTCAGGGAGTAGGGTTCCCCACAGGCACACTGAGGGGGCGCAGGGGACACTGGGCACCCCGCCCACCAATCCCGCCACAACTGAGCCTCCTGCTCCCACCTCGGCTTCCCAACCCGTGTCCGGCCGTGCAGTTTGAGTGGAGCCAGGTGACAGGTATTTGGGTGCACCCGCGTCTCCATCAGCAGACAGGCAGGATGGCGAGCTGTGCCTTTTGTCCTCTCCCTGCCCACGGGGGTCCTGTGGCAGATCCCAGCCCACCGCACGTCTGTCCTCACTGGGGAGCTGGCACCAGAGGACACAGCTCTCGGGCTGGGTGTGGGGATCGACAGGGTGGGCAAAAGTAGGTTCACAGTTGTGAGCACACAAAACAATTTATTCTCATATTTATTACTGAATTATTTCCCACACGAACTACTGTGAGCTGCTTTTGCCTGCCTTGTGAGTGAGCAGGGCGTCCAGTGGTGCCCGGGAGAGCAGCAGGCTCATGGAGCAGGTGGCCCATAGTGTTCCAGAAGAGGGGCCTCTGAGGGCTCAGGGCGCCCCTCCTCCTACGCGAGAGTCCCCCAAGGGCTGTGTGGCAGCAAACCCTTTGCCTCCCGAACGAACGCCCTACAAATGTCCCTGGTGCAGGCGGGGGCTTGGCGTGGTGCTTAGAGCCGGGAAAAGCCGTGTACACCCTCCAGCCCTGCTCTGAGCAAGTTGCTTACCTTTCTGCCACTGCCGCCTCTCTGGAAATGGGGTGACACGGCTGACTTCTGGAGTTGCTGTGAGCAGAGGTGTCCTGCCTCCCACAGCCAAGCGAGACCCAGCTGCGGAGGAAGGGGGGGACACGGGAGTCAGGCTGCCGATGGCTCCCCCAGGGCTCAGCTAACGCACGGCCCCGGCCCCGTGCTGGGTGCTCCAGCTACAGAAGGGCCACGGTGCAAACAGGACCGGCCCCAGAAGGTCTTGACGGGACCGTTTTGGGGTTTTTCCCTGCCAGGGAGATGTGATTTCTTTTGAGGCCAAGCACTGAAGGGGACGGCCAAAGCCAAAGCCAAAGCCAGCGCCGGGGAGCCAGGCGCGGTCTCAGACAGGGCTCCCCTCCGTCCAGCGACCCGCCCTGTCCTTACCGTGCAGGTGCGCCCACAAGCCGTCCCACGTCTCTTTCTTCTCCCTGCAGTTCTGGAGGGCAGTTATCTCAGGGTTCCAATTTGTCCATCAACACCAACCAGAACATCAACATCAAGTCCGAGCCGATATCACCTCCCCGGGATCGAATGACCCCGTCAGGCTTCCAGCAGCAGCAGCCACAGCAGCCGCCGCCACCACCGCCGCCGCCATCACAAGCGCCCCAGCCCAGGCAGGATGTGGGGCGCTCGCCCGCGGACAGCCTGAGCAGCTCCAGCAGCTCCTACGACGGCAGCGACCGGGAGGACCCGCGAGGGGACTTCCACTCCCCCATCGTGCTCAGCCGGCCCCCGAACGCCGAGGACAGAGAGAGCCCTTCTGTGAAGCGCATGCGGATGGACGCCTGGGTGACCTAAGGCCGCCGGGCGGCGGTCTGTACTGTGACTGCAGTGAACTGCCCGACGTAGCTAAGGGGGTTGGTGAGGACGTGAGGTAAATATATTTATATGTACATACATACATATCTACCCTTCACGTATGTATGTATGTGGGTGTGAGTGTGTGCGTGGGTGTGTGTTGCATATGCAGAATCAGGCACTGACCTGCAACTCCTGTCGACCTGCAGACGCGCGTCCCGGCAGAGCGGGCACCCTGTAGGCGGAGTCTAGTGCGGCGTCTCCCTGGACCCCGTGGTCGCCAGAGACCCGGTGTGTGCAGAGACGTGTGCCGTAGGTGACCCTCCCACACTAGCTTGCGGAGGCCCCGAGGGCCCCCTCGTGTGTGACTGCGGTGACTGTAGTACTGCGGAGAAGTGCTTTGTAGAGCAGAGCGGTAGAACAGCAGGAACCGAGAAAGCAATACTGTACATAGGATGTCCTCTGTATTAACCACCCAACCCGGCATGGGTCTCTTTTGCAAAGGGGTGCATGGCAAAGGGCTGTCGGTAGTAAAAAAAAACAAAAAAGCCCCACACGTAACTGTTTTGCACGTGCAAAGATGTATCGGGTCAAAGAAGTGATCTTTAGCTAATAAGAGAGAGAATAGAAAACACGCATGAGATCTTCAGAAAATACTAGCCTAGAAATGTAGAGCATTAACAAAATAAATTAATATATTAAGTTATAATTGGGATATGTCAGAAGTTTCTTTTTACATTCATATCTTTAAAAAAACTGATTTTAGCTCATGTATATTTTATATGAAAGAAAAACACCCTTATGAATTGATGACTATATATAAAATTATATTCACTACTTTTGAAACATTCTGCTATGAATTATTTATATAAGCCAAAGCTGTATGTTTTAACTTTTTTTTAAGAGACTAGCTTTATCTTGTTTTAACTTTTTAGTTTTATTCTAAGAGGGAAAAAATACCTTGCAAGCAGAACCTTGGAAAGAAAAAGCCATGAACACTTACTATTCTATATATAAATTAAAAGTTGAGCCAAACGTTCTGTAAATAGCATCTTAAATATATTATCACCTTTGATGTAAGTACCTATGTATTGTATGGTCACCAGATTAAAAAGTATATTTTTGTGGATTTGCCGCCAATTTGGGGGGAGGCGAGATCCCTGTTGAGTAGAGTATTCACTGTTCGATATTTACTATTTTGTTAAATATACTGTACTTTGGATTTTCATTATTAGCCCAGTCCTTCCGGGTGTTGTGTACGGTCCCTCACTGGTGGTGAGTGTGTGGTGTTGCCTTGTAACCTTTGTGCTGTATGGGTTGAGCATCATTATATATTTTATATGTGTGCATAAATAGCAAAGTGGCAAAAAAAAAAAACAAAAACAACCGTGGTGTTAAGTTCATGCTGCAGAAGTGCCCAGTGTGTTGTAACAGGCTCTGTGAGGCACCACCGCAAACTCGCCTTCTGGGAGGAGGCCCCAGAGCAGGCGGCCAACGAGAGGAGCACAAAGGTTCTCCGGGTGGTGCACCATCGGGGAGCCCTCGAGGGCGGGGACCTTTCTCCCCGCCTCCGAGGGGGGGTCCTGCAGTGGGGACAGGATGCTTCGGGGGAGGGGACCACGCCCTCAGCTCCCATCCCAACCAAGGCCTTACGCTCACAGGGGACAGTGGGTCCGCCCCTGTTCTGCGCTTGTGCCGCAAGTGAAGTTCCAAGTCCTGTAGATCTTCTACCACAGACTTTTAAGTACTACTTTTCCTGAGAAACTCAAAATGAGGGTTTAGAAATGCTGCTATTTTATATTTTACACTTAACATTGAGCAGCTACCTACAATTTGTACTTACATTTCCCCCCCTAAATTGCACCCCTTTTGGGGGTTCGCTTAGATGCTCTTGGTGACAAATCATCAGGCAGGTTCTGAGTGGCGCATGGGCGGGAGCCTGTGGTGCTCACAGCGCAGACACTCGCTTTTCAGATGCCCCACCTTCCTGAACCACTTCCTCGCAGGCACATTTCTTCATAGGTCACCTTAGTCAGAGCAAGGCCGTCTCCCGACACTGCACTTCCAAGACAACCCTCACCACGCACACCCGCCCACAGCTTTGAAAGTGTTCAGTGACCCTTCCGTTGTTGCTTCTGCACATTCATGACCTTCTGCTGTCCACTGGCATGGGAGTGGACACCGTCACCTTTACTGTCTATTTTCTTGTGTGCCTTAAGAGATGGCTTTTCTGACTGTATCTCAGTAGTCTTTCTTTCTATGCAGGTTTCTAATCAGTACAACTACTGTTTTCTAAAATAACCTTACACAAGGCTCGGAGTTTGTATTCCAATCACAAAGACCAAGTAACAATGGACTCCGTTCTCGGGAACCGAGTGTTCGACTGTTAGCCCTTCCCCACACGCACAGGGACCCGCCGCACACGGACCTGGCAGGCAGCCCGCACCTCGCCCCACGCACGCACAGGCTCCCTAGGACCTCCATCTCTCACCTTTCCAGACTCAAGTGTTTTGTATGACACCATCACAAGAAAAACGCACCCATGCAGATGAAGTATTTTATTACTAAAAGACAAAAACAAAAAAAGCTTAGCGTGAATTGCACTGGTTACAGCCCGGTTTCCGAGAGCCGTGCTCCCCCCCCCCCCCACGGTGGTGGAGGGACGCGGCCCCCGGAGGCCTGCAGGTGGTCCCGCCCCAAACTCCACCCCGCGAGCCCCCATTACTCCATTGTGTTAGCGACTCAGTCGGGTTGGTTCTGAAAGGAACCACCTGTGTCACCATTTCCTTTAACCAGAGGGACAGCTGACAGCATCCACACATTTTCCGTATTAACCATCATGCGCACAAGAAATACATAGTAAATCGGGAAGCAGAAACTCCTAGCATTGGATCATAAGAAGCTAGATGATTATTAGAATGTGAACAAGATTTTACAAATGTAAAACTTTCCTTTCTCTGTAGAAACTTTCTTCACTTTGCTGTGCAAGAAGACACTGCTTTGCTATATTTAAAATGGCTTTTTTAAAAGAGATTTATGTATTTGGTAAATGTTTGTAGTCAACAGTTCACACAAGAAGCTGTACGCGGTTTGACCACGTGAAACCGTTTGGCGGCACAAGCTGGACTTTGTTGCCATCCCTGAGATGAAACTGAGTTCATCTCAACTTCTCCCCGACGTGTTGTTTTTTCTTCATTATACAATAAATATGATAGTGAACTTTTTATCAAATGGATAAGAAAACGCTAGAGGTTGTTGTAAACTCTTTGTATCCTGCACTCACTACAGTAAAGACAGACTGGCTTTTCCTGTGTACCCCAGACTCTGTCATGTTTGCCCCCAGCCCCTGTCCTGACCCCATCTGCCCACAGACGCCCTCCGCGCGCTGACACCCGACACGCAACCAAGGGGACCGCAACCAAGGGGACCGCCGCAGTGCCCGCCAGCCTCCCCTCCCGGCCCCTGCTGTGAGGCCCGTGGCCCTGCACGCAGGACCCGCGCACGGCGTTGCGCCAGGGGAGGTGAGCGGCGGCGGCTGCTGCTCGAGTTTCTCAAGCTCGTGGCGGAATTGTTTTGCCGGAAGTGCACACACAGCGCTGAGCCGGGGCAGCCAAAGACCCATCTCCCAAGTGAGTTTCATTTCTAAAAGCAACAGGTGGGAAAAACGTGCAGTGGAAAGTTCTCTTCCTCCAGTTTGCCTTCTAAAAGCCTGGCTAAGCAGATTCTTGCAGTCAATTAAATTAAAAGCTCCATTTCTCTGCCGCTGTTACTTTCTGCCTAGAGGGAGGCCAAGGGAGGTTTCTGAAAGGTGGCTGAGCGCTGTGGCTAAAAATACTCGGTTGCACCTGCAGCCATCTAATACCTACTCCCTGCGATGGCCGAGCCAGCGCCCGAGGGTGGCTCTGGCCTGTGCCATCCAGGGCCTCATGAGGGGTCACAGGACCCCTGGGCGTGGAACTGGAGGGAAGCAGTGCTTCTTCCCAGCTCCACAGAGGCACCAGCACCCCGGGAAGGGGTGCCCTGGGTGGCCACATGCTTGCAGGCGGCCCCGAGCCAAGCTCTGCCCAGAGGGCCTGGTCCACCAAGGGAGCACATCTGGGCCGCCGAGACACACCCCCACCTGCCTGCCTGCGTGTGCACGGCCACAGCAGACGGACGGCGCTGCGGGACGAGAACTCAACGGCTGCGTCGGCGGGTCTCACCGTTTACCCGCCTGCCTGTGTCACTTTAAGTCCGACTCACTTCAGAAGAAGTTGGAGAAATGACAGTTCCCACACACCCGTCACCCCCAGTGTTAACACGTCATAACCACAGGCCTTCACGCCGACATGGCCACTGTGTTACTGTGTTAACAATACACAGCATCTGAATGTCCCCATTTCCCCTCAAGGTCTGTGCCCATCACAGGATCCACGTGGCACGTAGTTGTCATTTCTCTGTAGCAGCTCCTTGGTCTCGCCTTAGAAAAGACAAGACACCCGGGAAGACGACTGGACGGGTGGGCGGTCTGGAGAGGGTCCCTCAGTGTGGGTCCGCCCGGGTCCTCGGCTGCAGTGAGCTGGCTGTTTGGGGAGGAACGCACAGACGCAGTGTGTGTGCGGGGGCGGCACGGGGTCCGGGGCCGAGGTCTGAGAGCAGTTGGTGCAGACCGTGACCGACAGGTGTCCCCTCCAGCTCTCGCCCACTCACTGCAGCAGCTCCTGCTGCGGTGTCCCCGTCTCTCCCTGCGTCGTCGTGGTGGGACCTGTGTCAGGGGCAGCTGCTGCCCTCGTTATGGACTCGGGCACTCACGTAATTCTGGGGGCGATAGTCTAGTACTATCGGCACTTTGTGTCGTGAATAATTTCAGCTTTGGCCACGGAGAACGCCCTCTGCCAGGACCCCCTGCTCAGTGGGAAGCCCCTCCCCACTTCAGGGCCTTTCCTGGCAGTGTGCACCCCACCCCCGTCCTCTTTTGGACCCAGTGCTGCACCAGCCACTTCAACAACGAAATGAAAAGGGAAATCAAGAAGCACCCCGAAATCAATGACAATGGAAACGGCACGGAACACGGGGGCGCTAGGGAAGCAGTTCCTACAGGGGAAGTCGGTCCGCAGTGATAAATGGAAACGTAACACAGGGAAGTCTCAGACCTACACTCATACCCACGGAACTAAAAGAGGACCAGATAAGCCCGGCTTAGCAGAAGGAGAGAAAACACAGTACAGAGCAGAAATAAATGAAGTAGAGATCAGAGAAACAATAGAGAAGATCGATGAAACTAAGAGCCAGTTTTTTAAAAAACAGATTGAACTGAGATGTCTTAAAACCACACAAGGTAAAAAATCAGAACTGAAGTGAGAAAGACAAACTGATGCTGTAACTCACATGGGACCACATGGCATCGCTATAGGACCTCGGCGAATGGGGAGCCTGGACCCCGCGGGCGACTCCTGAGAGTAAAACCCAGCAAGCTGACCCGTGAAGAAACAAGCCCCAGCAGGCGGTCCCCAGGAAGAGGGCCGAGTGGCTCCGTGGGTGGGGTCTGTCAGGTTTTCCGCACAACTAACCGCAAGCCTCCCTCGGTCCCAGAGGACGAGGAGGGGACAATCCCACACTCATTTTGCAGGGCCTGGGCCAATCGCCCCGGCACCGAAGCCAGACAAGGACAGCGTGAGAAACGAACCACGGGCCGCCATCCCTCACGACTACAGGTGCAAACAAACACTCTCAAGATACTAGTGAGCCAAGGTCAAAGGCGCACGAGAGCCATTCACCACGAGCAAGTGCGATCTATCCTGGGGATCCGGAGTGTTTCAAGGACAAGGTGCTACACGCCGCTGTGACGAGTGATGGGCAGGAATGACAGGACCCCGTAAATGCAGAAAGGCCTCTGACGGAAGGTGCCAGCCCCTCCTGACAAAACCGCTCAGCGAACTGCGCGCAGCAGAGCGCACTGAAGGCCTGCACCTAACACAGGTTCACGGCCGACCGCGCACCCCCGCGGTGGAGGGCCGACCGTCTGTCCGCGGTCAGAAAGGACACGTTCTGGAGGCCCAGCCTTCACGGTTCAGGCAGCATAAAGAAACGGGAATTCAGGGTGGGGGAAGGCGGCAGGGAGACCCCAGCTTCCCCGTCCCTGCTCCCCGCAAAGATCACTGGACAGCTACCCACGGACGGCGGGCCAGGAGACGTCTGGGGTCCCCCCGGGAGGCCCTGCAACGCGGCAGACGAGCACGCCTGAGAACACAGCACGGGGAGATGACCACTGTGGTTTGCCTGTGTCACCCCCGCCCCCAGAGGGCGCTCTTGGATCCTCCTGCCAGGGGGGGGGGGGGAGGGAGCTCCACGGCTCCCCCATGTGCAGACTCTCCAGGCCCGCCTGCAGGGGTCCGCATCCCCTGGTGCCAGCGGGGCCACAGTCCCTCCCTGCCATCCACCCGCCCACCCCCTACCACTGCCTGGGCCGGACCCACAGCCTCGGCCACCCCAGGTCTCCCTGGCTGTTTCAGGGTCAGACACCTGGGCCCCACCTGCTCCACCAGAGTCGGGGAGTTCATACCCTCTGCAAAGGCAGGGCGCCCACCCTGGTGTGGGGCCAACCCCACTGCTACACACGCACGGAGGGGACGGTGGTGGACTCGCCACACGAGGGCCCCAGCAGCTGCTGGTGAAAGAGAGAAGGTCCCGCCTCCTGTCACTGACCGGCACATAGAGGCCATGTGTACACCCGGCACCTCCACGTTGCTAGGCAGCCCAGAGTGGCCCTGGACACCTGCCCTGATCCTGGCACCGTAGCTGTGTCTGCAAGCAATGGGGACCACGACCTGGGCCCCTGCAGCTGGCCCCACAGCTGGGTTCTGGCCGCCCCTGCTGCTGACCCTGGCCCCCAGTCCAGCTCCTGCTCCTGGACACACAGCTCAGGAGCCACAGTCCCCGAGACTACCGTGGACCCCTGCCCGCTTGCCAGGGATGGACACCAGAGGGGCTGGACCAAAGGGACGTCACGCCCCTGGGACCCAGTGCTGCCACACGCCCAATGCCACCGATTCAGGGTCACAACATGGCCCCGTGTCCCCCTAGCCACAGGTCAAAGGCTCCCCTTCCCGAAATCATTCCACTAAGTTGGGAGAGGCCACTTCTTCCCACACCCAGATGCCTACACAGGGCGAGGGGTTGCACAGGGTCAGGGACATGGGCCTCCACCAAAGGGGCGGAGAGAGGGGGCCCCCAGCTACTGGCCCAGAGACGCAGAGACAAGGGGTTCAGAACAGTCCTTGGTGGGACCGCGACTGAAAGCTGGGCCTGGTGTCAGAAGAGCCATGAGGCTGGGGAGAGTGAGACCCTGAGACACGTGATCACATTAAATTGTTGGCACCAAATACACCGATGCATCTGTAAGATGCTTTACATCAACCTCCCGGGAGCCCCAGAGCAAAAATGTTCCTCGGAGAGAGAGAGAGAGAGAGAGAGACACACACACACACACACGCGCACACACGCACGCACGCACTCGCGGGGAGGGGCAGGGCTCGAGGCGCAGCCCGCGGAAAACCACCTTCAGACGAGGGCCCCGGGGCTTTGGGACAACACTGAGGCTTAAACATGTGCGCACCCAGCGTCGGAAGGCCTCGCTGGGTTAAGCAGATACCGAGAGACCTGGAGGGAAGCGCACAACCTCACAACGTCGAGGGACTCCGACGCCTCCCCGTCGACAACCACCCGGAGGGAAAGCCCACGCGGGAACGTTGGACGGTGCGAGCACTGTCCTCGCCTGAGCCAGCGGGTCAGCCCCAGCCGGGAACCGGAACCGGAAACCGGAACCTCGGCGCCCCCACCTCACACAGCATCTGCTCTACACCTTCACCTGCCCCCACCTTCACCTGCTCTACAACGGCCCAGGCTCGTGGGTCTGGACCAAGCCCCTCCACGCTGGAAGGAGTTCACGGAAAGTACAAGGACGCTAACAAATGCCACGGAAACGGGAGAAGAAAGCCCCAGACTCCCCGGGAATAGTAAAGACAGAGTGAAAGTTGGATTCTGTAAGGTGATGATGGCTGTGCGTTCCTAAGTTTCAACAGCTCTGCTTGCACAGTTACACACGTGCAGTGAAAAGAACCCTAACCACAGCGCGATCACACAACACAAACAACACGCGCACTTGCACACCGACGGCTAAGAGGTGTGTGTGGTTTGGACTCGCCTGAAATGTCAAGTTTAGGGACCCTGTAAAACATAAGGTGCCAGTTAAAATGGGGTGTCATAACTTTAAGGTGTTTTTATGTAAGTCTCATGGTGACCACATGATGAATATCTGTAGGGGTCACACAAAGGGACAGGAGAAAGGAGTCAAAGCACAATGGCACCAAGACACCAAAGCAATCAGAAGACAGCAGGGTAAGGAGCAAAAAACGGCCCTGGCTGGTGTGGCTCAGTGGATTGAGCACCAGCCTATGAACCAAAGGGTCACCGGTTCAATTCCCAGTCAGGGCACATGCCTGGGTTTCGGGCCAAGCCTCCACCAGGGGGCACATAAGAGGCAGCCACACACTGATGTTTCTCTCTCTTCTTCTCCGGGCTAAAAACAAATAGATGAACAAACAAAAAGAAGCAAGAAACAACTGAGCTATAAAATGATCCAGAAAACAATCAACAAAATGGCAACAGTATCATTTGCCAATAATTACTTTAAACATAAAAATCACCAATCAAAAGAGACAGGATGGGAGTCAGTCACTTTAGTCTAGAAAAAGATAGTTCATACAAAAGGTTCCCCCTCAAACCCCCCAAAGCTGTAACAATACTCGTATCAGACAAAACCTCCACAAATGGTAACAGGAGACAAGGTCACTGTACAATGATATACAGTGGGGTCAGTCCATGAAGATGATGGAGAATGTAGATACTTGTGCACCGCACACTTGGGCACCTAAACATGTAAAGCAGAAACTAACAGACTACAAGGAGAAGCAGGCAATAGTCACAGCTGGGGACATCACCGCCCCACCCGTGACAATGGACAGGTGACCAGAGCGTCAGCAAGGAGGCCACGGGTCTGAAGGGCGTGCTGGACCACCCGGGTCTAGCAGACGTGCACACTCCTCCCAGTGACAGGAAAACACAGTCTTCTCAAACATCTGGGGAACACTTTCTAGGACAGACCCCATGCTAGGCCACAAAACAGCGCTTAGCAAAGTCAGGGCGACCGAAATCCCACCAAGGGTCTTCCTGAACAGAATGACGGGAAACCAGTAACAGGAAGAAAATGGAAATTCATGGACACGTGGAAATTCAACAGCACCCTCCTGAACACCAGCGGGTGGAAGAAGTGATGACAGATGAAGCAACAAAAGCAACTGAGACGAGCTAAGGGGGAAAGTTACGGGACGCAGCACAACCAGCCCCGACAGCGGAGCTCACGGCGATAAACATCGGCAGGAGGAACCGGCCTCTGTGCGCATTACTGTTTCACACACCCTGGAAACTAACGTGCTGGGGTGTGTCAATGCCAATTTTCAAAAAACAAGCCTCTTAGAAATGAGGAAGGACACAAATAACCTAGCTCTCCATCTCCGGAAAATAAAAAGTGAAGAACGAAGGGAGCCAAAGGCGGCAGCAGGAAGGAAATAACGAAGATCAGAGCAGATGCGTGAAATGGAACAGCAGAAGAATCAACGACGCTAAGCTGGTTCTTGGAAAGAATTAACGACATCGACAAACCTCCGGGCGGACCAACCACGGTGGAGGAGAGAGGGCCGACTCGACAGAAGAACAAGCGAGAAAAGGAGCCGTCACCACTGAGACCACACAAGTACAAGGGACAAGGGGCCGTCGCCGATGACTGTGCCAAACCTGTACAATCTGCAGGAGCCAGCAGAATTCTGAGAAGCAGCCCACCGAGACCTCAGAAACTAGGTACCAAGACTGGTGCAGGAACAAACAAAAAACCTGAGCAGACCAGTGACTAGTGAGAAGATTAAATCAATAATCAAACTGCCCAAACAAAGAAAGCCTGAGCAGATGGCTTCTGAGTAAATTTTACCAAACCCTTGAAGAATTAACACCAATCCTTCACAAACTGTTCCAAAGATCAAAGCAGAACGAACACTCCCTTTAGTATCACCCTAACACCAGAGCTGAGGAAAGCCAACGTAAGAAAACCACAGGCCAATGTCCCTGATGAACAAGGATCCAAAAGCCCCAATGAAATACTAGCAGATCAAAGTCACAGCACATTAGAAACATCACTCACCAGGAGCAAGTGGGATTTACTCCAGGGATGCAGTGACGGTGCAACATCCCCAAATCAATCAATGTGCTACAGCTCCTTAGCAAAGGAAATATTAAAAACCCTATGATCATCTCAATAGATGCAAAAAAAGCACTGGACAAAATTCAACATCCATTCGTGATAAAAACTCCCAACCGACTGGGTAGAGAAGGAACACGCCTCGACATAATAAAGGCCACAGGAGACGAGCCCACGGCTGATGTCCTGCTTGTGGTGGGAGGTTGAGAACTCGCTCTGGGGCAGGGCGGGGGGGGGATGGGGGGTGGGGGTGCAAGGCTGGCGCTCCCACTCTCGCCACCCCTACTCCGCACCGCGCTGGCAGGGCCCAGCCAAGGGCATGCAGGCAGGAAATAAAAAGCATCAGAATTGGAAAAGAGGTAAAATTGCCTCCATTTACAGATGACTTTTATATATATATATACCAAATCCTAAAGATTCCACCAAAAAACTGTTCGATACAACCAATAAAGGTCCAGGATACAAAATGAACGTACAAAAAGCAGTAGTGTGTATGCGTGTCAACTAACAGTGAATTACCTGGGGAAGAAAAGAAAGAAAACGACACCACGCACAACAGCATTGAAAGCAATGAAACACTTAGGAACGAGTTTAACCGCGATGGGGCAGGACCCCACACCAAACGTGACGCTGCGCGGATGAAACTGAGACGTACGCGCGGGAAGGCATGCCCGGTTCACGGACGGACGGGGAGGCGTGACAAGGCCAGAAGCCCGCGTTCCTCAAAGTCACTGCAGAGCCACACAATCGCTCTCAGGATTCCAATGGCATCTTTTTCTCTTACACGAGCAGGAAAAAACAGCCCTGATCTTTTGGGAGGCACCAAAGACTCTGGATCCTCGGCAACCCTGACCAGGGAGCACAAGGCAGGGGACAGCGGACTTCCGGTTCCGGTGCATTACAGAGCTGCAGTGCTGGGAGCCATGGCAACCAGGACGCGTGAGAGCGGCACCCAGTGCCCAGGTTACGGAAGCACATGCCTACGGAGTTAAGTGGTCTCTGGCACAGGGGCCAAGGATGCGCAACCGAGAAGAGAGGGTCTCTCTAACCAGCAGCGCTGGGAAAACGGGGCATCCACACCCACCACAAAAATGAACTCCAGATGGGTTAAAGCCATGAATGTAAGACTAAAAACCATAAAACTCCTGGAAGAAATCATAGGAAGTGAGCATAATTTTTATCTTTAGTTTTTACTGAGATTATTGGGGCGACGTTGGTAAATGAAATTACACAGATCTCAGGTGTACTATCCTACAACACATCATCTCTATACTGTATCGTGGGTTTGCCGCCCCAAGTGAAGTCTCCTGCCATCACCATTTGTCCCCCCCCAACCCCGTTCTACTCCCTCCCCCCTTCCCCTCTGGCCATCACCACGCTGTTGTCTGAGTGAGTTATGTTTCTACTTTTTTTGTTTAATTCCTTCCCCCATTCCCCCAGCTCTGCCAACCCCTCCCTCTGACAGCCGTCCCTCGGTTCTCTACCTGCGAATGTTTCAGTTTGGTTTGCTAGTTTGTCTTCTGCATGAGATCCCACATCTGAATAAAATCACACAGGAGGAAGTGCGTTTCTTGACAATGGCCTTGGCGATGATTTTTTCAGTCTGACCCCTAAAAGCAGACGGTGGCACATCGAAACTAGACAAGTGGGGTGGCATCAAACCAAAAAGCTTCTCCTCAGCAGAGTAAACCATCAACAAAATATAAAGACAACCTCTGGGATGGGAGAAAGCATTTGCAAACCTTGTATCTAACAAGCGGTGAATATCCAAAATGCATAAAGAACTCACACAACTCAGTAGGGGAAAAAACCAAACTAAATCATCCCATTTAAAAATGGGCAGAGGGCCTCAACAGACATTTTTCCAAAGTTCTGAATTATCAACAAGTACATGAAAAGGTGCTCAATGTCCCGTATCATGCACCTCAAAACCACAGTGAGACATCACCTCACACCTGTTAGAACTGCTACCATCAAAAAGAGAGATGACAATGGCCGGCGAGGACATGGACGAAGGGGACTGTGAACTACACAGCTGCTGTGGCAAAAGTGTGGGGGCAGGGGAGGCTCTTCCAAACGCCAGCGAGCAACCCTGGGACCCGGCAGTTCCACCTCTGGGAACCCATCCAGAGAACATGGAAACCCGTGGCAAACAGGTGCCTGCATCTCCACGTTCAGAGCAGCTGTGCATACAAGGTGTGGGGGATAAACGGATGTAGAAGTTTTACACGTCCATACACACTCACGCAGAGAAATACTGCACCACAGAAAAGGAACCCCTCCACTGGGGACGGAAGGCCCCGTCAAGGGCACCATGTTTAAGTGAAACGAGCCAGTCGGAGAAAGACACTGTCTAATCTTGTATGTGGAGTCTAAAAAAAAAAGCAGCAGCCAAACTCACAGAAAAAAGCGATTGGATCTGTGGTCACCCAAGGCAGGGGGAGGGGACATGGCAGAAGGTGGGCGGAGGGACAGAATGTCAGTTTCCAGGCCAGTGAGGACTGGGGCCGTAATGTGCACGGTGACAACGGTTAACTCTGCCGAGTGAGACACAGGAACCTCGTTAAGAGCAGATCTTGAGTTCCCATCACCAGGAACTGCCCCCCTTTTGTATCTGTGAGAATATGGGTGGGAACTAAACTTCCTGTGGGAATCGTGTCGCTGCGTCTGTACGTCCAACCACCGCGCTGCACACCCTAGACTTACGTAGTGCCGTACATTAACTGTATCACACACCAACAACAAAAAAACCGAGGGAAAAAAGACAAACCTTTAGGTCTCCTCCGAGAGCCGCCTTCACAGGGCCCCCACTGCTCCCCCTCAAGCCCAGTCCTAAGGCAGAGGCGGCGGAAAGAGCGACCTCCCCCAGGGAGGGTGGGGGCGGGGTGTCCGAGGCTTCTGCTCTGAGGTCTCCCTGCACCCCCCCCCCCACCGTCCCCGCAGTTCAATGGTGGGTACTGACGTTCAACCAAAAAAAACTGAACACACTTCACCGCTTCTTTGAAACGGGAAGACACCCAAACCGTAGTAAGATATGTAGAAAACCAGCTTCACGGCCTCCGGTGTGCACACCCAGCGAACCGTTTAGAGCACTAGTCAGCCAGACAGCGGGTGGCCTTCACCTTGGGCACAAGCCCGGGACACCTCACTCCTGTCTTCTCCAATGTTTCGCACGCCTTTTAGTTTTCAATTACTGGCCCCCAAGTTGAAAGAAAAAAAAGAAAAAAAAACAGGAATCTGTTTTCCTTCATAGAAGAAATTATTTTATTCCATTTGGAGGATACAGTTAATTCATTCTTTGCTGGACAAAAGTCATTTTCCCACAGGATACTGGCTGGGCCCCACCCAGTGAAGTCAGTGGTGACAAGTGGAACCCTGTGGCAACCAGGATTCAGGGCATTTTTTATTACTTTAGAAGTGACGTAGCCTCAGCAAGGTGAGCTGGTGAGGCAGATACGGGGCAGGGTGGCGTTCACCACTGGGCACACCTCCTGCCAGGGGGGCAGAGAGCACCACTGGCCAGAGCCGGTCTCTCTCAGCGGCAGCAGGCAGGGGCCCTGCCGACAGCCAGGCGACCAGAGCTGCCCGGGGCTCCAGCCCCGCACGCCCGCTCTGGGGGCCGCACGGCGCTGTCGTGAGGATGCGCAGCCCTCCAGACACGTGTCAGTGTTTCTCCTGCCGCACCTGCAGGGCACAGGCGGCCGCGGGCGTTGGTGGTTCGGCTCCACAGCCGCGCATTAGGCGAGGACAGGGCATGCTCTGCACCGAGGGTGTTGAGGAAGGACCCACTGGTGGCTCCTGGAACGGGTCCCAGTCCCACAGGGAAGTACATGCAGCAGCCCAGGAGGCGGCCCGTGCCAGCAGATGTGGGTCGTGAGCCCCGTGGCTACCTGAGGCTTTAGCCACAGCAGCGGCGGCTAGTTCCCCACCAAGGTGGTCGGCCTGAGGGGGCTGTGCAGAGAGGGGGTGGCTGCCACTGGAATCGCCGCTTTGGGGGCTTGCCCTGGAACTGCACTCACTGCCACCGAGCCATTGGGGACAGCAGTTGAGTTCAAGCTCCCAGGAATCTCCCCCGTCGCTTGTATTTTAAAATAGACCAAATAAAACACTGGTAAGACAACGCCCACGAGAAGCATGATGCAAACGGCGTTCCACCACTGAACCCCACGGTCCGCCCCGTCTGCCAGCGTCTTCACAGGAGCCGGGGGCAGCGGCTGACCGGGGGGCTCCGCGCAGCAACTGTCCTTCACAAAGATCTCCGACCGCACCGCCTGCTCGATGTTCTGGTCAATGCCTTTGAAGAAATCCGTCAGCGGGCTGGCAGCGGTGCCGGCAGCCACCCCGTCCTGGTCTGGCGGCTCCTCGAAGGTCACCCAGGTCTCTGAGGACGGGCGGAGGAGGGGTCTGAGTTCTGTGTGGGTCTCTGTTAGGATCCCATGGTTTTTCACTGGAATCTTAACAGATTTCAAAGCATATAAGTCTTGTTCTCCCATGAAGTTGTTGGCTTTCTTGATATCTGCAACCTAGGGAACCAGGGAGACAAGCATCACGAACTACGCAGGGCTCCTCAAACTAGTATTGGAACAGCGGCTCTAGCCCACCTTGGACACTGGGATGCTACACCTATACGTAAAATGAGTTTAGGCTAAAGATCAGTGTGTTTTGGCTTTAACGTGCAGCTGCATCATCAAAATTTCCTCCACGTTTTCAACTTTGAACAACTTAAGATCTTAAGTTTCAGAAAAGACTCTTGTGTTTGCTTGCAGTGTGACTGCAACAAAATACTTTTAGGTGGCACACAAGCTGGACGGTGGGAAGCAGGCTGGTCCGGGCTGCTGCTTTTAACTCCGGAGGCAACAGCGCCCCCGCCTGGCCGCCCGCCCTCCCGCAGTGGGACGCAGTTCAGCCGCCGCAGTGCACGTTGGCACAATGCAAACAGAGCCCCTGCCGATTGGCCGGACCCACACAACGGAGTTTAGCAGCAATAACCTTTTAAGAGGTGTGCCTCCAGGATTCTGTCGCGTTTTCTTCTGCAGAGGTGCTGCATGGCATACAGATTTACTTTTTAAATAAAAGTGACCTACAGTTAATTCACCTGGAGGGCTGCACAACACAGTAATTAGAAGCACATGGGGAATCAGGACTCAAGTTGGAAACTAGGGACTGAAACCTTCTATTCCAATACCAGCGCTGGAGGAGAAAGGAATAGCACTCTGAATTTTACAAAGTACCAAAGTTCCTGACGAACACCTTCCATAATCCACTTGGAGGGTTAAGAAGCAGGGACTTAAAAATGAACCCTTCCTCAAGCCAATGTTTGAAAGTATCAGAGGCGGACTCTCCAGTATTGACACTTAAGTCCACGTGGAGAGTGTAAGCACAGCTGAGGGACCTTTACACAAAGTCTAATTCAAGACACTGCCATGACCATCTTAATTATTTAGCATGTGTTTCCAATTGTCTAATTAAACTGGAGCGAGGGACATTTTTAATTGATGTGTTGAAACTGAAGCATAGGTGCTCGGGACCACTGTGCCTTTGTCTCTAACAAACATCACATTTATTTAATTTTGACAGGAAAACTCATCACTTATTCTCGGCATTCATTATACAGGCTCCACAGATTCATTACAAGTCACCACTCAAAGACGCTCAGTGCGTCTGTTCAGCTCTTTGCAGGGTAGGACGCCTTTTTCCACTCATGTTCTAGAAACCACGCAGTAAGCCCACAGAGGCCAATCAGAAGGGTCAAATGTGTACATTTCAGTACAACTCAAGGACCAGTATGGGTGTTCCCAGAGGCCTGCCTGTTCACTTCCTGGGGATACATCCCAACACCCCACAGGTATGTTCGACCATTTGAACCTTGTTAGACAGTGACAGACTGTTGAAGGAGGAAAAGACTGTGAATATCAACAGACTGCCCAAGTGGCCCTAGAGAAAGCCATGGAAACTTGTAGCAGGGTGTCAGCAAAGGGAAATACACAGTTTCAAACCAGGGGGGAAAGGCAGCAATTCTGTAAACACTTTCCTACTTACTTTGCCACTGTTAATCACTCTGAATGCTAAAAACATAATTAGAGAGAGACAGGGTTATATAGATGCACAGCATACAAAAGCCAGATCATGCAGTTTCAAAAGGGAGAAGACATAACTTTGCCAACAAAATAAGTTACCACCGGCAGGAAAGGGTTAGAAAATGAGAAGCAGCCAGAAAAGCGAGATGCCAAAAGAATCTTGAGTAAATTCCGCCTGGCATCTCTGGCCCACTCTTTTTTTTTTTTTTTTTAAGATTTATTTATTTTTAGAAGGAGGGGAAGGCAGAGAAAAAGAGAGGGAGAGAAACAGCAATTGGAGACCTGGCCCGAAACCCAGTTACGTGCCCAGGCGGGGAATCAAACTGTTGACCTTTCAGTCTGCAGGCCGGCACTCAATCTGCAGAGCCGCAGCGGCCAGGGCTGGCCTCACTAGGTCTCAAACACAGTTTGGAGGGACAGGGAAGAGTAGAAATATTTTGCATAAAGGGGAAACCCCCATCACCTGAGATTCATAACCCCCGCTTGTTATGAGCCCAGGCTTCAGGGCTGAAAGTGCTTCCATCTGCCTCCCATCTTTGGCTAAACAGGAGTCCCAGTGCTTCAAGAGGCTTCTCCCAACCACCTGCTGGGGTCAGGCAGGATCAGCTGGGGCTCCCATGCGGTCGGTGAGGCCCTGCATGGGCGGAGGCCGGGGGCCACGGGCCCTTTCCCCTGTGGGATGTCTTACTTTGCAGCCATACTGAAGAGCCAGCTTGTTGAGGCTGTCCTCCCGGGCCAGCTCCCGCTGCAGCAACACAACGTCCCCGGCTCCTGGGTGGGGAGGGTGGTGGGCACCCTTCTTCTGGCGCTCCTTGCCCCGCGGCCGCAGAGCCACACGGTGGGACTCTTCCTCGGAGGAGTCCCCTGAGTCCCCATCGCCATTCTCAAACACGTAAACTTGGCTGCTTGCAGTCCCACAGACCATGGCCGGACCTTGGAAGGTCTTGGTTAACGCTCCCTTCTGCCTCATTTTCTTAACTGAAAACCAAACCCCAGGGTTAATTCCACACAAGGCATCGCATCCCTGACTACCTTCAAGATAAGCACCTTGTCGGAGATGACTCCTTTCCCGAATCATTGTAAATACTCAAAAATTACTAGCAGTACAAAACAATGTGCTTACGCAGAAATGCAGCGTGAGAGATAGGCAAGCAAAAACACCATTTTTTTCCTAATTGCATATTTTGCACAGAAAATGCAAGAACCCCTCTGTGTCTCCCCTTAGTTGTCATCCACACCTGTGACTCTTCGAAACCACAAAAGGTACAGAAAAACTTATCTTTGTGGCCGCCGAGCAGTAAAGAAGTGGCTGGGGTCCTTGCACTGAGAAACTTAACTCAGAACTGTTACACGAAAAATCCTTGTTCCACTTTACACATTTCAAGGTATCACCATTAAGGCCACTTACTTAGAAGAACTAAGAATTCGACACGCTGATTCTGAAACATTTTACGTTATATGCTACATGAGGCAAGTTAGGGGAAAACTCCTGCCAACCTCAGAAATGCGTCCGGTTTCTCTCGAGTCCCTTTGCCTTCCTTTCACCCCGTGTCTGGTTTGTGTTTTCACTTCCGGCCAAGTGCATAAAGCCACAATACCCCCTTTCCCCTCCCCAAATCGTTCCAATGCATGCAGAAATGAACTCTCAAACACGGAGAATGACAGCCTCGGAGTTGTCTGGGGGACCTTGGGAGCCACAGAGGGGCGGCCCACTCGGGGACAGCGCGTGGCCCAGCGCGACACCCTCCCACTCCGCGCCCCCACTCCGTCCCCGCCCTCCGGTGCCCCTGCCCGGATCACCTGTGGCGGCCCGAGACCGGGGCCGCGCCTACGCGTCCGAACCCCGAGCCAACAGGGGCCCCGGAGACTCCCAGGCCTCAGTTTCCCGCAAAGTCTCTTCCGTGACAATAAAAACCCGTGGCAGCCGGTCTCTGCGCTTAGACAGGCGGGGCCCCAACTTACACAAGACCAGACCTCTGACCTCCAACCCCAACAACCTCGTGCCAGTCCCCCACGGTGGCGGCCGCCGCCCCTCCAGCTGTAAGAGAGTGGCCTGTCACCGAGACCAACAGCAGGGTAAACTCACCGCGTCGCAAGGGGCTCGCTTAGCGTCCCCAACCAACACCGAGACACCCCCAGCCCCCGGGAAAACCCCGGTACCTCAGCTCCCAGGATTCGCCGCGACGCGCCGTTGGCGCTGCTGAACTACTGCGCATGCTCGTTGGCTAAGTGTGTCAGTGACCTTGGGGGTGTGGGGACCGCCAAGCAGCCAATCAAATCAGCGGTGGGCGGGCATTGGACCAAACCGGACAGTCCTGATAAGTCAGTAAGCGACCAGCTGAGAGCGAGGCTGGGCGGGCCAAGCACGGGCCTAGGGGCGGGGCCTAGGGGCGGGGCCCCAGTCCTTCGACCTGACCCGCCCCACGCTCTCCTATTATCCACAGGTTGCAGTTTACCTGAACACCTCACTCCCAACTTTCATCTGAACTTTTGGCCCCAATTTGTACGTCAATAATCTGGAATGAGAGGGCGGATTCACAGTAGAGGGGGTGTCACGGGCTTGAGACCCCTGGCAGAGAAGGGTATCTTCGCTCAGGTGAACGAGGGGTCCTCCGGTGGAATCTGCTCCTCCCTGCCGCGCCCAAGAGGATAAAAAAAAGCCCACCAATGGAAACGCTGAACCCCAGCAACACGCACCCCCGAATTATAATTTATCAAGTGTCGGATGGCAGAGGACTCCTTAACCTTAAAAGTGACGGGTGAACGGACACACTAAAGCACAAACATTGAAAACGTGAATCCAAAAAAGGAAATCAACATTAAAAGCAAAACAGTAACTTGAGCAAAATAAATGCAACGAATACCGTAAATGATTAAAATCCTTATTTGAAAGAAACCTCATCAAATTAATAAGAAAGGCACTAAGACCACAAGAGATGAAATGTGGCCTGAGATGGCAGGTGGAGTCCAGTGGGATGTTTGTGACTTTATGTAGCAAAAACTTTTAAAATGTGTATATTCTTTGATTCTGTCTCCCTTGTTTAGGGAATTTACCAAGGGCGTAATTAGGATATTTACAAAGACTTGGTGTAAGACTGCGGTTAATGGTGATAAATGGAAGAAACCCAAAGTGTCCCACAGAGGGGGATTCGGTTGAATTCCTTGAGCTCATGTATGGACAACGATGCATCCATTTCAAATTATCTTGTAGAAGTTGTTTATGAATAAAAGGCACTGTTTTGAAAATCTCTGGAAAACAAGGTGAAGGACAAATACCCTGCAGCATCACCCCACATGCACCTGAGGGTTATAAAGAATGTTCTAGTGGTTAATTGCTTCATTTATGCGCATTTGCACTTCCAACATTGTCTCCGCTGCCCATGTTTAGTCTCCTTACGAGGAGGTGGTGTAACTAAAGCCACAGGTGCTGAGTTCAGAGGTCCAACTTTGAATCCAGCGCCATCCAGCAGGACCTATCAGAAAATACTGTGGCCTCGGTTTTCTCATCTATGAAATGGGACCTTAAAGGCAGTGCTGCTACCTGTCTAGCGCTGGGCAGGTACCTGGCATTCAGTGAGAATTCCAGGAACATGAGGCAATGTGATTACCAAGGGTGAAACCATACACACATAAAAGTCCCACTGAATGAAGAGTAAGTACATTGCAGCCCTAACTTAGGTGCTTGCTAGGGGTTCTGTTGAGGCGTGCATCAGCTCTGATCTGGGGACAGGTTTCTCCAGTGAGTTTGCAGTCAACTCGTCAGCAGCCTTGAATTGTCCCTGGGGCCAGGATGTGGGGAGGTACCTACAAACTGGAGCCTGATGAACTGGGCAAACTGTCCTAGGTCACGTCAGCAAGAGCCACCGCCCTTCAGACCAGGTGAGCGCCCACATGGGAAGCTCAGCACCTGCCCCGAGTTCCCAGGACATCGCAGGCTGACTTCTGCCTGGTCGTTTGCTTCAGGCAGGGAGCCTGGGGCTGCTGTCAGCTCCACCTTGGTGGGAGCTCAGTCTCCAGCCCGGAGTGTTTAAAGGGACTGCAAGCACATCTGAACAGCCTCCCTTTGTTCCTCTCAGGAGCAAATCCTCAGTGCTCCCTAACCCCCCACTTTCTAATCACCCTGCTTTCTCTCCCTTGGGCTCAGCTCTGGCTTCCTTGGGCGTGCCTGGGGGATTACGCAGATTCAAAGGGCCCAACTCGACACCTCCCCAACCCATCTCCTTCCCAGTTCCCTGGAACCAGGTGGAGACTGACCTTATTTCTAATTTTGATATGAATTACATGCTAAAACAGTATGGTTTTAGATATGTTAGGTTGCAGGAAATGTTATTAAAAATCAATGTCATAAATTATTACTCTGAGATGCCTAGGAATCGGATTGCTGGGTTGAAGAATATATGTAAATTTAATTTTACTAGGTGTTGCCAGGGTACTTTAAAACTGCCACGGCAATTCACATTTCAGCAACAACCTTTAGAGAACCCTTTCCCTGTGACACACATTAATACTTGTTTTATCTTTATCAGTCTTCTAGCTACATAGTGAATACATTGTCTAATTCACATTTTTCTAACTACTAACCAGTTTGAGGACCCTTTTCTGGGTCGATCATTTAGATTTGCTCTTCTTTAAATCGCTATGTTGTGTTAACTGGATTAGGTTCAGCTGTATATAGCATAAAACCCCCAAATAGCAGAGACTATTTTTGTCTCAGTCCCCATGTTCCGAGATGGCTGCCAGAGTGCCAGACATCACATCCTCATTCCAAACAGCAGGAGGGAGGCAAGAACAAAGAGGGCACACTCCTGGCCTTTAAGGAGACCTTTTGGACATTACACATAATACTTCCGCTTGTACATACTGACTCAGAACTTAGTCAGATGGCTTCACCTAGCTGCAAGGGAGGCTTACAAATTTAATTTTTGAGTTGATACCCTAAATAAAATCAGGAGTCTATTAATGAGAAGGATAAGGGCAGACAGTAATTGGAATAAGCAACTGCCTTCTTTTCCACCAATTTTTTTCATTTGGTTATTTCCCCTTTTTTCAATACTGTATTATGTTGAAATGTATAAAGTGATTGATATTTTATTCTTTTGGCCAACAAAAACAGTAATGCCATATGAGGCAACCCAGTGGGTATGGACCCTTTGCCTGTTTCTCTCACCATCACGGCAAATTTCTTTTTCCAAAGTTGATACTTGTCCATCAAATTTGTTGTCCCTTTGCCATTCAAAAATTTAAGTTTTTATATAGTGAGAGGTGTTGACTTCTATGGCTTTGGGGTGGCCTGTTCTGGCAGAGAACTTTTCATGTAGATGTAATCTCCTATATTTTCTTCTAAGATTCGAATTGTATTACTTTTTAAAAACCATTTAAATCTTTCACTGTTCTGGAATATGTGTGTATATTTGCATATGTTGTGAAATCGGATCCAGCTTGGTGACCTTCCTGCTGGGTGGCCAGCTGAGTGGAAACCTTTATGCAGAGGATCCTCCTTTGCCTGCCGAGTGGAAATTCCATCTTTGGTACTCACAATGGGGTCTATTTGGGGACCCTTTGGGAGGTACCAACTTTTCAACTTTCCTTGAAACTACTGAGTCTCCCACCCCCTCTCTCTGCCACTTCAAAGGGTGGCTGCTGTGTGACTGGTGATGCTCTGGGGAAGGTCAGATGGGAGA